AGCAGCAATTGACATTTCTAGCTCATTATGTGAATGTCAAGCACAGTTTCAAGTCCCTCTCCCAGCACCAGTGTGGGTACCTTGGCTTCGGGCCTCGGGCCAATGTCAGACTGGTTCACCTTGACTTTAAAGTGGCTTACCTTTACTTCACATTCATGTCAGGAACGTGATCTCCACATTCATAACGAGCGAGGCGTGTTCAGAGAGGAAATAAACCCGCAGGAACCATGGAAACAGGAAGAGCTGCCCACGTGGGGCCCCGTTGCACGGCACCCCATCAAGACGGGTGTGCTATGAGGTTTAACCCCCCCCAGCTGAAACCAGGAGGCCTCTGGGACCACAAGGTGCTGCTCAAAGCCTCCATCCTTAACCTGACCTCTGACCCACACTGCGGCACTATGGTTATTGTTGCTAGTGGTGACGTAGCCACAGAGACCTCAGCTAGCTCAGGAGCCCTGTCCTTTCCATATCCTCCTTCTCTTCTCCTGTTCCCTTTTTTTTTTTTTTTTGCCAAACACACATAATCCACAGCCATTGTAAGCAAAATCCTTGAATCCTCTGCTTTTGTTTCCGTTTTACTAATGGAGTTTTCCTATTCTCTTGTTTTAATTGCAGCAACAATAGCACCAGAAAAATCTTCTTTCTGATGTTTCTAACCTATTGTTTCTTTCTCTCAGTGTAAGTCTATGGAGAAAATTACACACACTTCATTTCTTTTTTTACTTGTTCAGTCACTGAGTCAGATGTGACTCTGCAACCCCATGAACGGCAGCACACCAGGCCCCCCGTCCTTCATTATCTTCTGGAGTTTGCTCAAACTTATGTCTATTGAGCCAGTGATGCTATCTAACCATCTCATCCTCTGTCGCCCCTTTCTCCTCTTGCCCTCAGTTTTTCCCAGCATCAGGGTCTTTTTCAGTGAGTCGGCTCTTCACATCAGGTGGCCAAAGTATTGGAGCTTCAGCTTCAGCATCAGTCCTTTCAATAAATATTTTAGGGTTGGTTTCCTTTAGGATTAACTGGTTTGTTTTCCTTCCTGTACAAGGAACTCTCAAGAGTCTTCTCCAATACAATTTGAAAGCATCAATTCTTTGGCGCTCAGCCTTCTTTATGGTCCAACTCTCACATCCATACATGACTACTGCAAAAACCATAGCTTTAACTATATTAGTAACTTTAATGATTACTACTGAGAGTTTATCATATGCCAAGAATTCCACAAGCTTCCTGAATTTTTAATTATAGACAGCCCCAGTTACTCTCGGTTAACTAGTCTGTGCCATGCATTTAGCATTTTCATAACATTTCAGTATTATTATTGGATGTAAGTACATACAGTCTGACTCCTTAACTACATGCAAGCCTCTTATAGTTAACTATTATGTCTTACTATCTATAACAAAGGTCTATATAGTCAAAGCTATGGTTTTTCCAATAGTCATGTATGGATGTGAGAGTTGGACCATAAAGAAGGCTGAGCACTGAAGAATTGATGCTTTTGAACTGCAGTGTTGGAGAAGACACTTGAGAGTCCCTTGGACTGCAAGGAGATCAAACCAGGAAATTCTAAATGAAATCAACCCTGAATTTTCAATGGAAGGACTGATGCTGAAGCTGAAGCTCCAATTCTTTGGCCACCTGATGTGAAGAGCCAACTCACTGGAAAAGACCATGATGCTGAGAAAGATTGAGGGCAGGAGAAAGGGGTGACAGGATGAGATGGTTGGATGGCATCATCAACTCAATGGACATGAGTTTGAGCAAGCTCTGGGAGATAGAGTAAGACAGGGAAGCCTGGCTTGCTGCAGTCCATGGGGTTGCAAAGAATCAGAAATGACTTAATGACTGAACAACAACAACATTGTGTATGATTATAATAACAAAAGCAACAGAAGAATAAGTTTTAAACTCAAAGAAACAGATCCAGCATGGAGTCAAAATAGACTCTCCTCTGTTCCAATATTATTACCTTGCTTGAAATATTTGTTTTAAATGAAAAGACACGATGTGAGTAGCGTGGCGGAGGACTGGAGGAGTGGGGAGGGGTCCTTTCCTGTGTAAACTCTCTGGACAAGAAATATCCAGTGTGCAGCCCTTAATTAAAACAGCATTTTATAATGTTTAAAATAGCTAACTCTTATTTAGAGTTCAGGCTGTAGGTCTAAAAGGAAGGACTATATATTTTTTTTAAGCTACAAGAAATATCCAGGTTTTCTCCATTATTACTGATAATTGGATTGTGTATTAAAATTGAAGAATGAGTTTCATAAAAGTGTTTTTTTGTTAATAGTTTATTATTACATTATAATATTCTAATAGAATAAACTATTCTAAAGTTTATATATATAAACTTCATAAAGTTTATTTATACTAAAGACCCATTTACTATAAGTTCACACTTTAGATATTTTGCATATTGTATATCACATATTTCTTAACTTTTAGGTATTCAAACTAATACCTAAACTTTTAGGTATACATGAACATATGTAATCTATCCCTGAACTACAGTTTGATGTGAAAAATCCTACACCTCACATTTTATTCTTTTTTGGTGTTTCTTTTTCTTTTCTTTTTTTTGGTGGGGGGTGGGTTTCTTTTAAAGCCATATTTCTGCACTAATTTTATCTTACCTGAATTACAACACCCATTTTCGGGGGGCCACACCACACAACATATGGAATCTTAGTTCCCCAACCAGAGTTTGAACCCATGCCCTCTGTGATGGAAGTGCAGAGTCTTAACCACTGGACTACCAGGGAAGTCTCTATAATAAAGTGTTTTTTAAGATGTTTCCCTAAGATGTTATGGAAAATTCAGATAAACTTTGGGGCCAACCCAATAATTTCTCTGTAAAAAACCCTGTTTTATGCAGCTTTGTCATCCTAACACGCACAGCATTATGTTTTTGCTAGTAGATGACAACTGATAAAGCTCTTATTCGATTCCCTGAGGTCTTAGTGATAAAATGGCAAAATGAGATGTACAGACATGATGTTCTCTTAAGATTTCAGAAGATACGGCTTTAGGTGAAGGGAAGAATAAAAGAGAATCTAATAGAGGAAATGCAGAGCCTTCATTAAATTCTGAAGAAAAGTGATAATGTAATTAAGCCATCAGGAAGAGAAAACTCAAGATAAGGGAATAGTTTGAACCTAAGCTAGACTCCAAAATGTCCACAAAAAGTGTGAGAGTGAGAAAACCAGGTTGGCTGGACTGCAGAGGTGGGCTGGTCAGCTTTTGGAGACAAAAATTGAGACCCTGTGACTTTTTTTTTTTCTCAGTAAAGGGGAAACTAACAGAAGTTCTTGCATGTCCCCGGGGGTGAGGTAACAAGTGAAAAGGCAGGTCAGATCAGGTGGGGAAATACTGTCGTGTCTTCTACAGACGACTGCCCAGATTCTGGAGTCAGATATTTCAAATCCACCCCAGCTCCATCATTCATGGGTTCTGTGACTTTGGGTAATTAGCCTGGCCTCTCTGTGCCTCAAGTTGTCAGCACCAAAAGGGAGGTTATAATCCTCTCTCAGTTGGTCTCGTAAATTATGGATATGTTAAAGGTTATATGGAGAGAGGGGGAGGTTGCAGATGAACGGCTGTGAAGGTTTGGGAAAAGGGGACCTGAAACAGAGCAGGACTCCATGGACATTCCCGGAACAGGCCTTCCCCATATCCTCTGCTTTAGCTCCTCTCTGAAAAGTACCTAATGAATAGATAACAGTATCTGATGAACATTTCCTGAGCTGTTTTACAGATGTGAAAACCCTCCACCAAATGAAAAATGTTAACTGCTTGCTGACAAAGGTCTGTCTAGTCAAAGCTAAGGTTTTTGCTGTAGTCATGTACAGATGTTAGAGTTGGACCATAAAGAAAGTTGAGCACTGAAGAATTGATGCTTTCAAATCATGGTGCTGGAGAAGACACTTGAGAGTTCCTTGGATTGCAAGGAGATCAAACTAGTCAATCCTAAAGGAAATCAACCCTGAATTTTCAATGGAAGGACTGATGCTGAAGCTCATGTTCCAATACTTTGGCCACCTGATGTGAAGAGCCGACTCACTGGAAAAGACCCTGAAGCTGGGAAAAGATTGAGGGCAGGAGGAGAAGGGGATGACAGAGGATGAGATGGTTGGATGGCATCACCGACTCAATGGACATGAGTTTGAGCAAGCTCTGGGAGAAAGTGATGGACAGGGAAACCTGCAGTCCATGGGGTCGCAAAGAGTTGGACACGACTGAGCAACTGGACAACTGCTTGATGACCATGAGCACACAGCCCCAGGCCTCCTGGAGCCTAAGGACTGACAATGTTAACCCTGGTAACACCACCCTGCTATCTCACCATCAGTCAATCAGAGAACTGTGCACTGAGCTGATCTCAAACCCTGAGACGCCCTCTCCCTCCCTGGGCTTTTAAAAGCGCGTTGTGGAAACCCTTCAGGGAGTGCAGGGCTTTTTAGGGCAGGAGCCACTCATCTCCTTGCAAGGCCCTGGAGTAACCCCTTTTCTGTTCCAGACTGTGATGTTTCCATGTATTTGGCCTCACTGTGCCTTGGGGACACGGATTTGTGCTAATAGCACCAGGAAAAGAGGGATGGAATAAAAATTGTTAGCAGCTGTGGAGAGTTAGTCCCCACCTGATCCTGTGGGGAAGTACCCACAGCTCAAGGAATTACTCTGCGTCCATCTACAAATAGCTAGTCTGAAATAGCATCCTTCAATTGTGAGTAAGAGTACATTAACTGAATTGTTACCAAAGCGATAAACCAAAGCCTCTTTGGTGCATCACTAGAATGATGGCATCACTTGGTTAAGGGCTCATTTTCAAACCACATTCCTGAAGTGGTGCCTGACCTGTAATTAAGAGTGATACTGAAAACCTTCCTGCAGCTTCTCAAAAGTGTCCTATGTGGAACGAAAATATCTCCTGACATATCAATAAACAAAAAATGTCACAGCCAACAGGGATTTCTGGCCTTCAAATGTGAATGAGGGCTCACCAAAGTGGGATCCAGCAGGTGCCTCCACACCTCACAGTGACTGCTGAGAAACTGGGGAATGCACGAATCAGCCATCTGCCACAGCTGCCACTCCTTAAGGCGAACAAGGAAACAGAATTTGGCCCCAGACAGCTGAAGTGCAATGAAAGGAATGGATTCAGTGAGTCCAAAGGCTGGCATTTCCCCATACCTAGAACACTAAGTTCCTTAACTTGATATCTGATCTTTGATGTTCAGAATGACTGCTCCCTTTGTTGCAAACTTGTATACAGCCTGACTCTCCCTCCTGCCTCCTTGAAGCAGTTTTCTCAGAGCGACTGAGATGCTGTCTCCCCGGCTTGGGGTCCTAAACATCCCACCAAATAAAATAACTCTCTACTTTGAGGTTGTGACTAATATTTCATTGACACCTAATACAACTTGGAAGGTTCATCAGAAAGGGGAAAAAAAAAAGACAGCATAATTGATAATTACAGCAAACAGATCACAGTTCTCTTTGGCCTGAGAATCTGCAACAGTTTTAAGACTGTGTCTCACTTAGCAAAATGCTCTTGACAGTCACTCACGTTGTTATTCTTTTTTCATCATCATAGACTTTTTACTGAGATGTACAGATAAATACAAATTTAAAAGGATCGACTGTCATTTGACCTCAAAAGAATAGAGACATAATTACCAATAGTCGGCTTGTCTGTGGAGGATCTGCTTACTTCATGGTTCTAAAAGCCTTGGTCATTGTCAGTATGGTTCTGAAAGCCTTGGTCATCGTCAGCACAAATCTTCAACATACCAGAAGTGCAGGGCTTACTTTAAAAAGCATTATTTTGCCCGAGGAAAGCCATTTACTGTCACATCTAGTTTCCATGTTTGTTTGGCTGAGCCTCTGAGGTGACCATGACTTGTTTGCCTCCCTTCTTACATCATTTGGACTGAAGGAGAAGTCTTTCAACAGAGATAACCCCAAAACATGTGATTGAAATTGTGATGCTTTGCAGAGTCAGAAAGATTTTTCCTGCTTAGAAAATGTTTCCTCTGTAACACAGATGTGCTTTTCAAAGCCTTGGAATTTCCTCCTTTGAAAATATGTTGAGTCAACTGAATTTTCAAAGAAAATAATTATACCCTGAATTTGGCTCTGCTGAAAGAGCACACAAAAACTGCAATCATGCTTTTTATAAGTGTTTTAAAGTTTTCCTGGAGTTTATCATGTGAGGATATCATGAACTGAAGAACTGTGGTCCCGGAATTAACGCAGACTCGATCTTCAAAAGAATGAGAAAGTGCACAGAGGTGAAAAAATGTACCAACATGCTTATTATCATTAGTCTTTAGGATCTGAAAGGTAATATTCAAAATCTGTATTGATCACTATTTGTAATGTTTGTTGTTAAAAAAAATTCCTAGTCAAATGAAGATTGAGAATGGTAAGTGTATGACGATGGTAAGAACGTTCGTTTATGTGTTTCAAGTTTTGGGGGGGGGGATTACAACTACAGACACTGTTAACGTATCTTTCCATGGCTGGCTGCACCACTTGCGTTCCCAGCAGCAATTGATGATTTTCGTTTGCTCAGTGTTTCTGTCAACACTTAACACAGCCAGCCTTTTCTGTTGTTGTTGTTCAAATGTAGTGGATCTCACTGTGGTTTAATTTGAATTTCTCTAATGATTAAAGATGGTGTGCATCTTTTCACGTGCTTATTTGCTATTCATATATCTAATTTGGTGAAGTGTATGTTCAAACCTTTTTGCCTGGTTTTTTATTGCTTCTGCTTTTTCACCATTGAATACTGAATGCTCACAGCTTATTAAATATATGCTTTGATAAGACACACATACATAGAATATGATTTGCCTTTTCCTTGTCTTAACAGTGTCTTTACAAACTCGGTTCTTAATTTTGGTTAATTCTATTTCTTCATTTAGGCGAAGTATTTTTGGTTTTATATCTAAGAAGTCTTTACTAAACTTGAGGTCACAAGGGCTTCCCTGGTGGCTCAGACGGTAAAGAAACTCCCTGCAATTTCCTGTCAGTTTCCTGCAAAGAAACTCCTGCAACCCAGGAGACCTGGGTTCAGTCCCTGAGTCTGGAAGATCCCTTGACCAAGGGAATGGCTACCCACTCCAGTATCTTTGCCTGGAATATTCTATGGACAGAGGAGCCTTACAAGATTATAGCTCATGCAAAGGGTCGGACAGGACTGAGCAACTTTCACAAGGCCACAAAGGTTATCTCCTCTGTTTATTTCCAGAAATTTGATATACTTTAACATTTAGGTCTACAATGCATTTTCAGTTAACTTTTGTTTACATTGCAAAGTAAGAGCCAAAGTTCAATATTTTTGCATATGCATGACCCTAGCAGCATTTTTTGAGAAGACTATTCTTCCTCAATGGAATTACTTCTGAAACTTTGTAGAAAATCAACTAACAATATTTAGCAGGTGCATTTCTGGACGTTTCTCAGCTCCCCTGATTCATGAGCCTATCCTTTTGCTAAGACTGCACCATCTACAGCAGCTTCATAGGAAGCCTTAACATCTGGACATGTGAGCTCTCCAACTTTTTTCTCCTTTTTAAAAATGGTTTGGAATAACAGTCCTGTCCCTTTGAGTTGGCATTAAAATTTTAGAAATCGTTTGCCAATTCTTATGAAAAACCTGTGTGATTTTGACTCAAATTGTATTAAATCTCTTTATTAACTTGGGGAAAATTGAGTTATCACCTTATTCAGTCTTCCTGTTCCTGAAAAGATCGAACCGCTGTTTACGAAAGCACCCTTTCAGCGTTTCATTCGTATTTTGTGGTTTGGGCATACAGATCAAGCACATACTGTTAGATTGATACTTAAGGATCTCGAGTTATTTTGTGTTAGTGAAAATGGCTTATTTTTAAACTTCAACAATTGTTCGTTGCTAGCCTGTAGACATGCAACTGATTTTAAAATACTGATTTGCTAACCTCATGAATCTGTTCTAGCAGCTTATTTTGTTCATTCCTTTGGATTTTCTACTCAATTGTCTGTGACTAGACATAACATATATAATATATACATATATATATGTGTGTGTGTAATATCTACACAGGATATAAGCCTTTTATTTCTTTGTCTTCCTTTATTTCACATCTAAGATGACTGATACAGATTTCTGTCCTGTTCCTGATTTTAGGAAAAGAGCATTCAGTCTTTCACCAATAAATACATGTGAGCTACAGGTATTTTATCGATCCACTTCATCATGTTAAGGAAGATTTCTTTTAGTGAATGAATGGTGAACTATGTCAAATTTATTTTTCTGCATCTAGTGGAAAGACCTTGTTTTCTTCTTTAATCTATTAATTTGATACATTACATTGATTTCAAATATTTAACCAGCCTTCCAGTTCCTGAATAAACGCCATGTTTTAAAATTTTTACATATTTCTGGGCACAGTTTGCTCATTTTGTAAACAGTATTTGCATTTATATACAGAAGGGTGTTGGTCCATAGTTTCACGGGAAGGTTTGCTGTCTGGATTTTTCAGTACTGCTGGCCTCATAAAATGAGTTGGAAGTTGTCTCCCAAACCTTTTTACTGTAGAAGAAGTTATGTAAATTTTTAGTTATTCCTTCCTGAAATGTTTGGTAGAACTCACTAGTGAAACTTTCTCGATCTGGAAGAATTTTTTTTTTTTTTGGCCATGCTGTGGGGCATGGGGGATCTTCCCTCCCCACCAAGGATGGAACCAGCATCTTCTGCAGAGGAAGCCTAGAGTCTTAACCAGTGGACCACCAGTGAAGATCCTATTTGAAAAAACTTAACTGCAAACAATTATGTACTTTAAGAGATATAACACTATTATCCATTTCTTCTCAAGTGATTGGCTTTTAATGTCCTAGGAAACTTTCCTCTGCAAATATTTTAATAGCTCAAATCCTTTTCACCAGTGCCAAATCATTTTTTGCCTGAAGTATCTGCCACACTGCAGTATTAGTTTTTCTAGTCTCAGCCCCATGGAACTATTTTCACCTTTATCATCTACCCGAAATGTAATATTGTTCATGTCTCACTCTTTCTTAGCAGTCTTTTAAAGACCCATTCAAATTGCTGAGTATATAAATTCTTCCCAGCATATTAAAAATGGGTCTCTACCAAAAGCCTCCAGCATCATCTCCTCTCACCTTTTCCTAAGGTGAAAATCATGGCCTACAGAAGCCAGACTGCTTGTGCTTCTGTGACTCAACTGCATTGCTCGCACTATAGCTTTTACTGTAACTTTTCACCATATTCACTATGAAGACAGTCTTAAGCATTTTCTCTACCCCCACTCACACATATCCTCTCATTCAGAAACCTTCTTTGATTCTCTAGGGAGAGACAATTTTCCCTCATTCACTCATGCTGTTTGGTCATAGGTAATTCAGGTATTTACCATATTAGTTTAGATGGTGGTGGTGGTGGTGGTGGTGGTGGTGATGGTTTAGTTTCTAAGTCATGTCTGACTCTTGCGACCCTGTGGACTCTTAGCCTGCCAGCCTCCTCTGCCCATGGGGTTTCTTAGGCAAGAATACTGAAGTGGGTTGCCATTTCCTTTTCCAGGGGATCTTCCCAACCCAGGGACTGGACCCGTGTCTCCTGCATTGCAGGCAGATTCTTTACCTCTAGCCACCAAGGAAGGTTAAATACATATACAAACAAAGTAAAGTGAAATTATCTATTTGCCTCCCTAACAAGGCCAAGCTTCTGGAAAACAGTTAAAGTAATACTATATTTCTATTTCAGTCCCTTACTCCTAGCCCAGTGTCTGACCCTAAAGTAATACCCAGTAATGTTTGTTGAACTATTCTGGGTTACAGAGCACTGGGGTGGGTAGATTCTGGTGTTAAGATGTGATTATAATTTATATATCATTATCTAGCATCCCTATCATTAACGAAGCCCTGGCAGTAGCGGAAAGGAAGTAGAGGGGATCCTCTTCTAATCACTCATAATACCCTTTAGGCTCACAGATCACCTTAAACACATGACCAATGTAGACAATAATTTCCCAAGCAGTTATCTATGCACACACACACAATTTTTCATGAAATTGCATGAAGTTCATAGAATTCTTGACCTCCATCTGATTTCCAATGTGTACACAGGCTTTCCATCCTGAGTTGTTCAAAAGGATATGAACAGCATCCAATAGGGTCAGATGAGCCAGGAGGGAACGGAAGAAAAAGAATTGAAGAGACCTG